CCGCCCGAGCGCTCACCACTGCCGCCGCCGCCACCCAGCTCCGGCCGCCGCCCCGCACTGCCCGGCCCCACCGCGCCCGCTCCGCCGCCCTACCCCGGGCCCCATCCGAACCATTACAACCAACCTCTGCCCGCCGCCCGATTGGCCGCCGGGTCACGTGCTCGGAACGCGCTCCTCCAATCAGCTGCGAGAGAACGCCGCTCTCCGAACAGAAAGTTTGTTTCTTTCTAAAGGGACTTGAGCCGGCGGGGCTGGGGGGGGAGGGGGCAGGTCCCCCGCCCTGCTCCGCCGAGGCAGCCGCATGCCGAGCCCGCCAGTGGGCTTCGGCAACTTCCGCTGCAATTCCCGACGCTCGCGGAGACCGGCTGCCCTGTCACCATCTCTCTGTGTGATTCGTGTAGTTATTTTATACCATCTAAAACTGACATCAGCGTTTGCCTTTCCTCACGTGAATGCAGATGCATTAGTTTTTAGAGCCTGTAGTGTGAGCTGGGACAGAAGAGTTCTAGTGTTATAATCAGGACTCAGAACTCCTGGCAGAGGTGGTATCTTTTATTAGACCAACTAGATAGTTGCAAAAGAAATTATTTATTTGCAAGCTTTCGGCCGCCCTTCATCAGGCATAGGAGATTGCAAAGACTGTAAATGTTCTCCTGGGTTGAAATGAAAGTTTATATTTCACAGGAGAGCTGACAGTGTGGTAAAATCTCCTGTTTGGAACTGAAATGCAAAGCTCTCGAGCTCTTGGTTCAGAGATGATATCTGTTATTAGACCAACTAAAAATAGCAACAAAAATTATCTTTTGCTGCAAGCTTTCAGGCACACACACCCTTCCTTCAGGTTCTGAGAAAGGACGTGTGCCCAAAAGCTTGCAGCAAATGCTAATTTTTTTGCCATGTTTTAGTTGGTTTAATAAAAGGTATCATCTCTGAACCAAGAGTTCTAGAGCTTTGCATTTAGTTTTGTCTCAAACCAACACAGCTACCAAATACATCCCTGTTTGGAACAGGTCATTTTGTGCAGATTAGGCTCAGAGAAAAGTTGGAAAAGTCTTTCTGCCTCCAAGTTGTCTGGTGGGAAGCAGGATGTAGACTTATGTTTCCTTCTGGTTATGATATTTCATATTTCACAGAAGAGTGGAAAGAGGAAATGCTCTTCTGGGCAGGGATTTCTTTTGTGGAGCGGTATCTCTGTGCTTTGTTAGCATGCAAATTAGCTCAAACAAAGGCAGGAGCAGGTGCTTGGGTTTCAGGTAGTAAAATTTGCTTCTTTGTAAAACTATGAAGTTTTCAGTTCAAAAAATGGCTGGAATTCATTATCTTCCTTGTGTCAGGTATCCAGGTTGTAACCATATTGATCTAGAGGCAAAAGTGTTATAATCGGGGGGCGGGGTGCACATGGGCAGACAAGGTTCTTTGGGTAGATGTGGTATCTTTTATTAGACCAACTAAATACTAAATAGTTAGAAAAGTTATTCTTTGTAAGCTTTCCAGCACAAACACCCACAAGCTTGCAAACAGCAAGTTTTCCAACTATTTACTTGGCCTAATAAAAGATATCACATCTACCCAAAGAACCCTGTCTGCCTACATCCTTAGACCAACCCAGCTACAACCAACAGCACTGAAACACATGTACACGTACACTTTTCCCTTGGAATGTCTTAAAATTGCGCTTAAACTCAGGATAGAAAGTTTTCGTTCCAAAGGATCAGGTTTTCACAGAAATATGGGCAAGTAGCTGTAATGAGTTCAAATATTAAAGTGTAACATTAGTATATTAAAAGCCCCTCTCAATCTACTCTTTGGTTACTGAAGATTCTGCATTTCTCCCCTGCTCTAACTGAACTCATGGACATGAACCGCCAATGCATGGAAGTGGTTAGTAAGGCTAACCACACCTTGTCGTGCATCTACAGATGGATCGCAAGCAGGTCCAGGGAGGTGATCCTTCCCCTCTGTGCGACACTGGTCAGGCCACAGTTGGAGTACTGTGTCCAGTTCTGGAAGCCGCACTTCAAGAGGGATGTGGCTAACCTTGAGAGAGTCCAGAGGAAGTCCACTCGCATGGTCGGGGGCAGCAGGCCAAGCCCTACAAAAATAGACTATAAAGGGCCTGAATCTATTCAGCCTCCACAAGAGAAGACTGAGAGGGGAACTGGTGGCCATCTATAAACTCACCGGGGGGACCAGGGGAAAATAGGTAAGGTTCTCTTCCCCCAGGCATCACCTGGGATAACAAGAAGTAACTGCCACAAATTGATTGAGAGCAGGTTCAGGCTTGATATCAGGAGGCATTACTTTACAGTTAGGGCTTCCAGGCTCTGGAATGGGCTCCCAAAGGAGGTGGTGCTCTCCCCTACCTTGGGGGTCTTCAAGAGGAGTTTGGATAGATATCTGGCTGGGGTATTATGATCCCAGCACTCTTTCCAGCCAAGGGCAGGGGGTTGGACTTGATGATCTGTTCAGGTTCCTTCCAACCACAGAAACTATTAAACTAAGGTTAGGTCCTGTGAGAGACACCAAAGCACAGTATTTACATGAGCCTTTTTTATTATTTCCATTTGGAAATTATTGCAATAGAAGCCCAACAATCCTGTAGAAAGGTAAAGAGAAGCTAGGAATGACCTGAGTGATCACACCCAGATGCTGTTTATCTAGCTTAGGCCACTGGGAAGCACAGGAATGCTCACCAGCCGTCACCAAGCCATATCCTAAAGCTCAGTGCAGTCAGGTTTCTTTGATTTGACTTCACCAGACTTCAGGTCTACTTTTATTAATAACAGGGCTAGGACATCCTGATGCTTTTTGAAGTACTGCAGGGGTGCACCTATCGGATAATGCACACAAATACTTGCTTATTAGGTGTGTCTGGTATTTGCTTCCTGAGAGGCAAAACAAATACACAAATTACCTTATTGGAGTTTGATTCAGCCCACATGAATGCCAACATACATCACCAATTGCACTAGCAGCTCAGCAACTAGTTCTGCAAGATAGGTGGCAACAGGCACCCATATATCTTTGCAAGGAACTGAAACTCTGATCCTGATCCCGTTGACTGACCATGCAGGGTCAAACCCCTGAAACCATAGGGGACCAATCCTGCAGAGGCTTAAATATCTGCTAAGAGGAATGCTGATCCTTTGAGATCTCGAGGGAGCAAGGCATTAGCCTAATAACAATGACACAATGTAAACCAGGGGTTGACAGCGTTTTTAGGCAGAGTACCAAGAGCACCTGTAACTTCAACTTGTAAGATGGTGGTGTGCCAGGGTGGATGGCGGAGGACCTGCAAAGGGCGCCGATCTTTACAGCTCCCCTGCTGTCCATCCTGGGGCACAAATCCCAATCAAAATACCTTCATGTGCCACGCTCTGGTACACGTGCCGGGGGATGCCTACCCCTGGTGCAGACTCTTCAGTTAAAGGAAAAACTGTAACATAAAAACTTAGCAAAATAATTTTAGCATTGATCCTCAGCAGGTATAAGAGTTGATGCTGATCTTTAAACTTTAATGGAGCCATAGGCACCAACTCTGGGTGCTCCGGGGCTCAAACACCCTCCGAAAAAAGTTAGCAAGTGCTCAGCACCTGTGGAGTCACCTGCAGATGTTTAAAAAAAAAAACAAACGCACTTTACTGGAAGAAGTTCTGCCCCTTCTGGTGACCTCTACCCAGCTCTGTAGCATCTGTAAAGATCAGTCTCTTTAGCAGAGCTTTTTGATGCTTTTAACTAAAACCAGTTCAATCAGCTATTAGATCAAAGTGCCAAAAAGGCCCCACTAAAGCACCTGATCTTCACAGACGCTGCAGAGCTGGGCAGAGTAACGTGCTGCCTCTTCTGGGCCTGCTGGGGCTTGGCCTGGGGACGTGCTGAGTTAAAAGTAAAATGCTGGGGTTGATGGTTTGGGGTTTGTTTTTGTTTTGGGGGGTGGAGGGAATTACACCTGCCCACACCCACCTGACAAAAAACAAAGTCAGCACCTATGATGTGCCCCTCTATCTTCACGTTTGCTTACTTCAGACATTTAAAAAAAAACCCAAACCTTCAGCCCATATTCTCCGTTTCGCTATTTCACTGGCCCAAGAGCCTTCTACCTAGCTACGCAGGTGGAGGAAAAAGTCTGTTTCTTTTTTGATTTCTGGACAAACTATTTCAAAGCTGTTGTAGACCATCAAAAAAACAAACCCCCAAAAACTTAAAACCGCCCTTTAATTCATATCTAAACTATCTAAATCTGGGAAAAGCCATGGGACTACTTGGCGCCGGCTCACTGGAAACATCCCCTCAGATGACCACCTCCCGGCTGCTTCCTACGGAGAAGCCATCCTGCCACGGCACACTAGGCCCGTGGCGCCTCTAATGCGAGTGAGTCCATAAGCACAAGCCCAGCCCGCGGACACACGTGGGTGCCGCGTGGCCCAAGCTCCCTGCGGGGGGCGGGGCCCTGCTTGGCCGAGCCCCGCCCCCGCTCGGAGGAGGTGGGGGTGGGGACGGGGCTTTACGACAGTTCCCGTTTACGACTGGCGCCCGTTTGCGGCCGCGCTCGGTGCTTGGCGGCGGAAGGCGCGGAGCGGCGGGGGAAGCAAAACAAAGGGGCGGGGGGGGT